CCCTAACATTCTGTGATTGTGTGAGATAGCAGAGCCGGTACTGGTGGGGACGTGGCTCTCAGACTGTGCTGCCCAGCACCATGTAAAGTTTTAGGGGAAGGACAGAGGACACAGCCATCTGTTCTGAAATTACTGCTGCACACCCAAAAATTGTACACTAGGTAAGAGTAACCACTGCTATTGCCATCTTTTCTACCTTATCTTTGTATTTTACAGCCACAGTTCTGAACAGAGAAATAAATGCACTGTAATCTTTTCTTACACTCTATTAAACAGAAATATAAAAGTATCCACATGGGCCTGTCAAACCCCACTAGCAGGAGAACGAGCTCTATTGTCACGGGTGATTGGAGCACTTAGTTTTCAGGCTTACTGAGGCTCAGAAAATGTTTACTTGGCTGTGTGCTCAAATTTGGGAGAATTATGACAAACTTCTGCATCTGGTTTAATGACAGAAAGAATGTTTTTTTTCTGTAAAAAAGTCAGGCATGTATTCCTCAAGTTTTAGGTTTTTTTGTTTTTTTTGTTTTTTTTTTTAATTTAAGAGCTAGGTTAGGAATCTGGCCACACTGAGTTCTCTATTGCTTGGAGAAGGAGACAGTGAGATGCATGTCAAGAAGGCAGTTCAACCCATCTAGGATTCAGAAATCATCCTTAGGTGCCCAACACCCTCTATCAACAGGAGGCTTGCATTCCATGACATGCTCAGTTATGTTTGGCAGGTAAAACTGAACTTGAGAACTTTGATAAAATACTAAATGGGTCAGATGTATTCTACTCCAGGTCTAAACTAATTTTTGGGATCTGCTCCCTTGCATTCACTAGAAAAGGAAAGGTGTCTTTAGGCTTCAACTGTAAGGTCAAAAAGACCCATCTTAGACTAAGCAGAATATTATTACTTGGAGGTAAATATTTTTCTTTAATAATTACAGAGGGAGTTTTCAGTGACCAGAGTAGTCTAAGATGCCTAATTAAAGCATCTGCATCGCCTTATGGCTAGAACTGAAGTTTGCTTCTGTAAGATGGTTTTTGAATCAGGGTAGCTTAAAGGAAACAACAAGATTGTTAAAGAATAATGTGCAACTCATACAGCAGCCTGCTTAGGTATTGCTTCTTTCCTATATATAATCTTCCTTCATAACTGACCCAAATTCTTGCTGCTTATCTCTTACATCCATACCTGCTTTCTCTCTCTTATCTCTGAATTGTTTGATGCTGAAAGCAGAGGACTTGAGTGACACCCTTCCTGGCAGTGTTAGTGAAGGTTTGGCTTTCACTGTGGTCAGGATATCACGCCACACCTTGCCAAGTGCCCACCAAACCAAAAGGGTTATACAGCTAAATAACTAACATTCAGATAAATACTGGAGCCAGTCAAATAGATTTTTCTCTTTCTCCACACATGTATACATATGTATAAGTATGCACATGCTCACAAACACAACGCAGAAATGAAATCTTATACCTTCAAAGGTCTCCCAGACGAAACAAGTGCTATGTACTGAATTACCCTTGCCTAGTAGGAGATCTAGTGAGTGTGCTGGTTCTTCAAATCCCTTTATGTTAAGAGTTGTTAAGGCTGCTCAGCATTTCCTTAGAACAGGACACCAACTGTTTCCAGTTATTTCACATAGCCATGTTCTAATTTACATTTTTAATTATTATTTCCTGTATATCCTGAATAGATACAATGGAGAGGCCTTCATTGGAAATTAACCTGCCTGATACTCATGAAGAAGGAAAACTTTATGTAGTTGATTCTTTAAACAACCTAAACAAACTAAATGTTTGTCCAGATGAATCCCAACATGTGCTAGGTACGTATGATAGGTGATGCTCTGTGGTTTCCTATACTTACAATAGGCCATCAGAAAAGAGTTGTTTATGACATTTGAAAAGGCTGACCACACTGTGTATCACTGATGTCAACACCCCAATAGGCCAATATCTATATGTTCAGCTCTGTACTGAAAAAAATTCAAGAAAAAGCTTGAAAATTGAATAATTCAGATCACGTTAAGGGTTTAGCTGCTCCTTCTGAGTATTGTAGTGATTAGGTTCTTGAAAATCCTTGCATTTGGCTAGGGAATCACTGTCAAGCCTGAACTTATCTTCCATTTTCACTGGGATTCATGAGGTGATCCCCTGCACCATAATGTCTCTAGTAATGCTCAATATACACCTACTACAGAAATAGCATCATAACTCTTCACAAGCACTAAAATTCACAATTGGCAAAAGAAACATCAGAGAATTTCTGTTCATTCTTTTAAGACACATCTCCTAAGGTCTCAAATCAGCTATATAAAATATCCCATAAGAATTTTTAAGCATTTTAATTCACTGAATCTCTTTACTTACAGCTTCAGATATGGACTCTCACACATCTGCTGGTTTTACAGGGCTTTTATCTGTGATTTCTCAAGGCAATAAGAAAATTTTCATCCAGTGGTAGCCAAAATATACTTGAATTCTTTGTGACCTGAAAACATCTTAAAACCTGGAGTTCTTCAGCAGTGTTCCACATAACAATATTTGAATCTGCTTTTATTTCCCTTATTACAATAGCAAATTTGAGTAAAGAATAGCTATAGAGCAACGGCTATGTTAAAATGAGTTTCAAACAGCCATAACTTAATCATGCTTTTAGTTATGGGACTTAAATGCCTTTCCATTACTACTGTTTCTGATTTCTCTCACTTTTTCTAATGCAACTAGAGTGGTGGTGGCTTCTATATTTAACACAAAGCTGTTAGACATAAGCTACTTAATTTTTTGTATGTGGAGTATCTTGATATTGTCACTTCTACAAGTACAAAATGAGACAGTGGGATAAACCTGTTTTAATGTCAAAAAAAAACTTTGCAGTGTGACTGCCTTGCTTTCTTTTGTACTGTTTACTTTCCAGGTAAATACACAGGGTTCTGTGGAATCATATATGGTTCTGTGGAATAATCACATGCATGCTCCTCTCTGCATTTCAGCAGTTGTTAAAGGTAGCCTAGTATGTATTCTACACACCAATTTGCAAAGTGCTTTGGCTCCTCCTAGGATTATTCTTTTTAACATACATATTTAATTTTTTTTAAAAAAAAATTGGTGATTCTGTAGATACCTTATGCCATCAGTTAAATATATTAAATGACTTTTTCACAGTCCTTAGCTGCCTTTTTTAGCAGCATGAAATTCTGGTTCTCTTGCCAGAAAATGAGTGAGATCTGTCGAGTGTTTTTCAGTTTCTGATTAATATTAAATTCTTGTGAATGACAAATTAGTAGTATAGCAGATGCCCAGAGTGGTTTAAAAATGATGTTTTAAGAGTGTTTCAGTACACAGTAGCTTAACATGATCTGCTGTCATCAAACGCACCAGCATTCATCTTAAAAACTACTTAAACTCTATGTACCTTTTGATTGCTTGGGTAGCAGCCATGCAGTAGTTTCTTTATGTTTTAGATTATAAAATGCTCCCACTCTTTGCAGTTTGGCAAGGATGTGTGTTCACTGGTTCCTCACAACGCTGCAGTCTGCCACATTCAGCCAGCTGAAATATTAAGAGGCATTCATCAGGCAGGGCAAGCACAGACCACGGTTGAGACCTCTATTGATAGCTTAGTATGCTTGAGAGACAGCAGTAGCAGGCCCTCCCCATCCTTATTATTCTGATTAGAAAGCAATAATGGTGCAGACAATTAGCATATGATGCATTTATTATGAGTGCTAAGGGAATAAAAATAAAACCCCAGCCACAAATATGAAAAGATTTCGGCTTACTTGCGGGCAGGAGTGTGTTAAAGGCAACAACAACAAAAAAGCAGAGATATTCCCAGAGATCTCCTGCTAGCTCAGTGAATTGCTCAGCCCCAGGTTGGTTCATTATTAAAGTGCTGTAATGGCATACGCAGCCTCCCCTCACCTTTAGCACTGCAGGCTCAGTTGCAAAGAGCTCAGCAATTTCTACCAGATAAAACAAGAACACAATCTAGAAATGTATTTTTCACAGATGTACATGCTACTTTCCCTTGCCAAGTGGTAAGACAGCAATTACAGGAGGAGAAATTACAGTAATTTGCATGTAATTTTAGTATGCAGGAGCCTGATACCAAAATGAAATTACATTTATTCCCTGCTCTCCCCAAAATATAAAATAAAACCAAACTTTAGTAAGAGGTCAAAGTAGTAGACAAACTTTATGAGTTTTTTTTTTTTTTAGCTTCAGATGAATTTCCTCATGATGTTCACTTCACTTTGCCTGTTATCGTTAGGGCTTATTCACACCTGTCTTTTGATTGCAACTGCCTCTATGAGAGAAACTGTTGACTTTCCCTATATGCAAGACATCCTTTAAAAAGCAATAAACTGGCTGGCCAAACTGATTTGAGGGCAGCAGAGCAACTAATTATCTTTTTTCCCCTCTCATTCTTCATGTGCTTGAAGGACAACATGCGCAGTCCATGTGAGACTCTTCCATTTTTGACAATTTTTGAGGATATGTACCTCATTTTTTATCAGAATGAAACCAGCAAAACCTAAATAATAATAAGAAGATTGAAAACGCTTGTTTTAAAATAAAAACTTAAGACCTTCATTCATCCTATCCAATATCAGGAACTTAACTGAGGTGTTTAATTTGGGAAATTAATCATCTCAGGGATAAATCTACCAAAAAAAAAAACAAACAACCCAGAAAAAGAAGTAAATCTAGAGGGTGAATGTGTAGGATGAATCTGTACCTAGCTTTTCAATATGGATTTTTCTCTTCTCTCTTGAAAAAGCTGAGTCCATTCAGGCCCTCAGAAAGCCTTCTGATGAAAACTGTACATGTAAGACTGAGCTGTGAAAAAAGGTCAACTTCAACAAAACAGTGTATTTCAGCAACAGAAGCATTTTTGTTGCATATATTCCAACAGCAATAACAGATGTACTAATTTTTATACTTCCAAAGTCAAGCTGAGTTCATAAAGTTGGGTTCTTCCCTTCTTAGGAAATATCACAGGAAATAAAATCTGTTGACCAAAATGATGGCATATTCTGCATCATTTCATGAAGTCAGAATCATTTGTCATGTTTATCCTAGCCAACCTTAACAAACTGTTACCAAATATTTGCCATCTCATAACAGATGAGGAAGAGAACACTGATGGTGCTGCAGAAAACACGGCAGGGAGCAACATATCAAATAATCAGCGTTTGTTCTTCGTGACCTTTATTCTTACTTTGATCATCAGTTTGGCACTCATTTCATTTGTAATCTTCTTAATAAGTAAGTAAACCAAAGAGTGGTTCTTAAAAATGTACGGCCAGTTGGAAGAACTTTGCTGAAATGCATCATGCTACTTTATATTGCATGTTACTGATGTATTTGCATGGTCAAAGTTTTGGCTGGTTGTGGGCAGTGGGTCTTGGTACTAGGTGCAAAAGTTAAGGTCTTAACTTTCTGAGCTAGAAGGAACAATTTTGTTTCTTAGTGCAAAGGATTTGCAAACTTGAACAGCTGTGAAGAATTCATAGCTTAACAGGGTTATACTGTGCTGCTAAAAAAGCTGTCTGGAAATTAAATTAAATTAAATTTTCAAGATGACTGCATGGCAGTGAGGTACTTTAACAACATGCCTGCCATTGCCTTCCAGATAAAACTCAGTATTGGTGTCATTCCACTGAAATTGGAATTACACCCAGACTAACACTAAAATCAGGCTACCTAAAGAAACAGCTGAAGGTTGCCAGCTAAGTACAGACTGGAAATTGGTTTGAAACTAAGAAAATCTCAAATAAAGGAAACAAAAAAATTATAGCATTGAGTCTTCAGATGTAATAATTACTGTTCTGCTTCGCCTGGACTGGTTGGGCTGACTTACCTAAACACCTGGCTACAGGTGACCTTGGTTTGTGGTGCCCTTGCAATATTGGAGTTTTCTGAGCTAATGGTATTGAACAGAGCACGAGATGCATTATTTTACCTTATAACTCTATTTTTAATGAATTGGAATCAAGATTTCTTTTCTCATATAGTAGGAAAGTTGCTGGGGCATGGTAAAAATTCTCATTTTCCTCTTTGAAGTGGAAATCCTAACCCTTGACTGAACTTGCTTGTAAGCACTAGAGGAACAGAATATCAGACAAGTAAGAGCACAAAGGATTTTTTAAGTGGCATGATTGTAAAAACTTAAATATCTCATACTCAAATTCCAGATTTATATAATGGAGAGCTGCTAAAAGCAGAGCCCTGGTATAGAAAAATGAGAAATGTGCCCCTCTAGTGGAACAATAGTAGAGTAGTAGTGAAAAAGCTACTTACAGGAATTAAAGCAGTTTGCCTGGGCTCAGGTTGGTTGAGACCTGTGGTTCTTGGAAATGATTTCCAGCAGTGTCTCAGTTTACAGTACAAATGTAATCTCAGATTATGTTTGGATCCATAGACATAAATTCATTTAGCACTGGCACTATTAGACTTAGGCTTCAAGACCCATGCATAAATTTTACTAACTTCAGAAGGCCAAAATAAAAATAGCTCAGGAAGTGTACATAACAGATATCAGTGTTTCAGAGGAAAATGGCCACCAAATGTCAATTTTTGAAAGACTTTTCCTTTAACCTGAATGCTTTAGGAGATCCAGTGATGTGGCTGTAGTGTGCTGTGTGTTTCAGTGATAGTACTCGTAGAAAAATACAGGTGCATACTGCCAAGAAACAGAAACTTGGAGCCTTTAAAAAAAAAAACAAACCCCAACATTTTCCTGGGGACACTGAGGGAGTGGATGCACTCCTGCAGCCTGCAGAATTTGACTGATCCATATTTGATTTTATTTCACTGCACTAAACTGAATAAACCAGAAAATAAGCAATTAAAGAATGTAGTAAGCAGGTAACTCCACCAGATGCATATCTTCTTATCATTAGGTTCTGCAGCTGTTTTCCTGTTTAGTATTTTTACTCATTATGATTCCCTACAAACTCCCACAGGAATGAAAGAAAGCATTGTGATGCTCTTGACTTTAATGTTGCCAATGTAACGTGATACATTTTCCTTTTCAAGTTCAAACTAGAAACAAGTTGGACCAAATATCAAGCAGACTAATATCTGAAAAGAAGAACATAGAAGAGCTCAAGAAAATGCACGATATGATATTAAAGCATCTAAATCAATCAGGAACTCAGGAAAAGGGGAGAGACTTCTTCACACAGTCTCCTGATCTTCATGATTACCTCTTTACTCATGCTGAGCTGAAGGTCCCTGGAGAATAGAACTTCTTTGGAATGAAATTCAGCATATTCATGTACTTGGATATTTTCACATATGGCACACAGGTTACTTAAACATTCTGGTATGGTCACAAGAGCACTGGAAAAGCCAGCTGAATGAAAAAATATTAGAAAGTAGTATTTTCTAGTATTTTGAAATATATAGATTTTGAAAACTAAACTCATATAATTTACAATAACAATGGATTGTCAACAATTTTGGACAAGAGTTCCAGATTCTCTGTGCATTGTAAATTGCAGGGCTAAGAGCTTAGTTGTACTTTAAATGTAAGTGAATGATCACAGAAAGCTGATTTCTCTTCACATGATTCCAGCATGACCTTGTTCACTTAGTCACTTCCTGTTTCTTTGGAATAAGTTTTGTTGTTTGCTTCTATATTATTTGTATTTAAGGATAACTTCAAAGTCCATAACTTATAAATAAATCTAATTCTGCCACGGAGTTTGGTGGTTTTCTTTTCTGTGCATCTAAATAGATTAACTTACTACTCCTTCTGTGGAAAAACAAACACGGGTAACACCAAACCCTTTCATAACATGCCACATTCAGCGTAAATTTGTGTTGACTTAAAGTGGATGCCATATCATCTTGCATAGCAAATTGGCCTAGAGAACTGAGTCTGGTAATAGCCATCCTGTAGCAATGATAGTACACTGTGCTCGCTGGCAGTTTCTAGGTGAAGCCCAAGGGTTTTTTTAAAGGGATGTAGGGAAAATACTG